CCCCCCCCTTTCTTTTTTTTTTCCTGGAGGGAGAGATTTATTCATTCCCCTATAATGAAACTTTGTGCATTCCATATGGCTTGCATGAATTTATACAGGCCGTGAGTCATCCATTCTCCTCCTTGTAGGCTTTGATCAACCGGTGACACTGATTAAAAGAAATGTCCGCTGGCGAGAGCAATATATCAAACGCCCCCCTTCCCTTTTCCCGTCCCCCAGAAAATGCATCTTCAAATTTTACTTTGGTCCCTTGAGTGTGTGTCTCTCTCCTTCCCTTATATTATATTTTTATTTTCTCTCTCCCTTGCCCCTCTTCCCAAACCCCTGTTTTCATAGGAGGGACAGCAGCGTGATAAAAGAGGAAATCAAAGCCTTCCTGGCCAACCGGAGGATTTCTCAAGCCGTTGTTGCACAGGTAACAGGTAAGGGTGCCAGACATGTGCCTTTTCCTCCACCACTATTACCACTCTGCTCCCCAGTTCCAAAGCCATGGCACTATGCTGCCTTTCCTCGCCCCTCTTCTCCCGCCAGCACAGATGTTGGGATATCGCTCGGCGTTCTGCATTGCAGTGCAAATCTGTCAGCTTAGTCATTATAATGTATGCCTTTGATTTAAGACCCATTGTCCCTCATGTCAAGATACTTCCCCAGTGAATCCGCTTCTCCCTTCCCCCCTCGCGCTGCTTGATCCGATTCCTCCGCTTCGTTCCCCCAACATGACTTGTGCTATCTGGGTTCCCCCCCACCCACTCCCCCCATTTTTCTTTCTTTTCATAATGTTGTGAAGAAGAAGCATCAGGTGCTTCTGTCAGAGCCGAAAGGGTTTGGCGTTTTCTCCCCTTCTAAATTCACAAATGGCAAACATCACTCACCTCCATTTGAAAATGCAAAGATAAGACTCGCTCTTTTGACTGCGTACCTGAAGAAAGGGATCCGTCCACCAGGCACTTACTTGGGAAGCAGGATGAATCAGATGGTTTATTTTATTTGATCTGTAACAACTGCCAGAGGCAGCAGGGAGGGGTTGCCCCCACGTAGTTTCACATCTCCTCCCGCTGTGCCCTTCAACGGCTCTTTTCCTTAAAAAAATGATTTTCTAAAACCCCACTTGCCCCTTGACCCCTAGGGGACATGGGGTCACTTTCGCCAAGATTCCAAATTCCTCCCCCTATGTTAATTTTATCCATATCTGTATGTATGTATTTTTATCCTTTACAATTTTAGCTTGTAAATCGCCTAGAGCAGGGGTCCTCAAACTATGGCCCGGGGGCCGGATGCAACCCTCCAAGGTCATTTACCCGGCCCTCGCTCAGGGTCAACCTAAGTCTGAAACAACTTGAAAATACACAACAACAACAATCCTTTTCATCAGCCAAAAGCAGACCCACCCTTCCCATTGAAATACTAATAAGTTTATATTTGTTAAAATTGTTCTTCATTTTAATTATTGTATTGTTTTCAAGTGTTTTTTGCACTACAAATAAGATATGTGCAGTGTGCATAGGAATTCATTCATTTTGTTTTTCAAATTATAATCCGGCCCTCCAACAGTTTGAGAGGCTCTAACCTGTCCCTATGTTTAAAAAGTTTGAGGACCCCTGGGCTAGAGCATCTTGGATGGAGGGCGATTAATAAATAATTAAATGATGATGATGATGTTGAGCATCACCTCCAGACACCAGAGATGAGAGGGGAAGGCCTTTACCTTTGTCTGTGTATTGTATGACGTTGTTGTTCAATGTTTTAAAAGACATTGAATGTTTGCCTTACAGCTGTATACTGTAATCCGCTCTGAGTCCCTCCGTGGAGATAAAGCAGAATATAAATAAAATGTATGGCACAGTGGGTTAAACCCCTGTGCCGGCAGGACTGAAGACCAACAGGTCGCAGGTTCGAATCCAAGGAGAGTGCGGATGAGCTCCCTCTGTCAGTTCCAGCTCCTCATGCAGGGACATGAGAGAAGCCTCCCACAAGGATGGGAAAAACATCAAAACATCCAGGCGTCCCCTGGGCAACGTCCTTGCAGATGGCCAATTCTCTCACACCAGAAGCGACTTCCATTTTCTGACACGACAAAATATATATAGATATATTATTATTATTTGATACACAACAAGAGTAGTAGTCAGCAAACAAGATCACTATGCTCGCGTTCGTATTTGATCACACGTTGGACACTTCCCAAGTGTCTAGGACTGTGTGATGTATCAGCAAATAACATGTGCAGATTGGAGTAGCTTTTGCAGCTTACAGATGGTAATTTTGTCAGTGCCGATTGTTTTAAGTATAGGCCAAGGTCTTAAGACACTGCACCCACTGTGCTGATCACTGGGACCAGCTTATTATTATTATTTGAAACACAACAAGATGAGTCCAGAGCAGACACTCTGCTGGCTGTTGTTTTGGATCACACACCGGACACTTCCTGAGTGCCTAGAACTGTGTGATGTATCGGCAAATAATGCGTGCAGATCCCAGTAAGTGTCTAGATCTGTGTGATGTATCAGCAAATAACGTGCAGATTTGAGTAGGGTGGCCTTTTGCAGCTGACAGATGATAATTTTGTCAGTGTTGATTGTGTTTAAGTTCAGGCCAAGGTCTTTAGGCCCTGCACCACTGGGACCCCCTTGACCAGCTTGCAGTTCGATCTTTGCAGTTTGATCTTCAAATCCTCATATCGTGTCAGCTTTTCCAGTTGTTTTTCTTCAATCATGCTGTCACCTGGGATTGCAACATCGTGCTGTCACCTGGGATTGCATCACTGTCATGCACTTTAATGCTGTGTGCAAATATCCAGGTGTGATCCAATCTGCAGCCAAAGCAGCACTGTCCACGCTGCACAGAAAGAGGGTCATCGCACTTGCAGAAAACAGGGCTGTGGAGTTGGTACACCACTCTTTTAACTTACAAATCATTTTATTTTTTGCTCTCTCACTCCAGCTCTGATTCCATCACCTTCATAAATGACAAATGTATATTAATTAGTAATAACAAATTTACTGTAGTAAAGACACTTCATCACCCCTACATGAATCATTAGGCTTCACAGAACATGACTTAGAACATTGAATATATTTACCTAGGGGCAAAAAATTGCCTATAGGAATAAGTTATACATTTTAAAAAGTTTTTCACATAAATATAGGACACACGTTATAACTAAAGACTATAAAATGTGGACTGACAGAGCATAAAGCATACATTGCTAAAATATTATAAGTTTTTTATTTATGAGTTAGAATTGATATTTCTATCAATTCTGACTCCAGCCAAAGCTTCTTCTGACTGTTAACTCCAGAGTCTAGGTGAGAACTCGATGTTTTAAAAGTTGGCAGAACTTTGGAGCTACCTTTAAAAGAGACATACTGAATATACCAGGAGAGAATATAATGTTGGCTGTATTGCTATTAGTAGTGGAATGAAAATGTAGGAAGAGAATGAAACTGAGAAGCTGTTCTTGCTAACACCTGGAACAGGTGTGCTTCATTGCTGTCATTTTCCATTGTTGGTTGTCTCTGCAATATGGCATCTTTTCATATATTTAAACATGGCTCTCATGTCCCTTCTTAGAAGCCACTAGAGGTGCAATGGGTGGTTACCTTTTGCCGGCAGGACTGCTGACCGAAAGGGTGGCAGTTCGAATCCGGGAAGCAGGGTGCGCTCTCATCTGTCAGCTCCAGCTTCTCATGCAGGGACATGAGAGAAGCTTCCCACAGGATGGTAAAACATCCAGGCACCCCGTGAGCAATGTACTTGCGGACGGCCAATTCTCTGACACCAGAAGTGACTTGCAGTTTCTCAAGTTGCTCCTGACACATACCGGTGGTTTCCAGACCTTTGACAATTTTGGTCACTTCTCTGGATGCCTTCCAGCTGGCCATTATTCTTCATGAACCATTTGCAGAACTGGAGACAGTATTCCAGGTGAAGTCTGACCAAAGCAGGAATACCGTGTATCGTTCTGGGCACCACAAAGATTAATATCATCTTTTTCTTATTAGCCTTTACATGCACTCCCTTCTAAAAAAGATACGCAGAATGGACTATTGCTAGTTCTTGATACCATGCAATTCAATCTTCTATAATAATCTTGAATTGAATGTTTTGCCTTATGTTGGAAACCTCCCTGAGTCCTTTTGTGGAGATAAGGCAGTATAAATAAAGATTATTATTATTATTATTATTATTATTCGAAATACAACAAGATAAGTCCACAGAAAACAAGATCATATGTCAGACACTTCCCAAGTGTCTAGGGCTATGTGATGTATCGACAAATAATGCATGCAGATCCCAGTAATGTGGCCTTTTGCAGCTGACAGGTGGGGATTTTGTCAGCACCGATTGTGTTTAAGTGCAGGCCAAGGTCTTTAGGCACTGCACCCAGTGTGCCAATCACCTTTACTCGTTTGTGCCAAGAGTCTTTGCAGTTCGATCTTTAAATCCTCATATCATGTCAGCTATTCCAGTTGTTTCTCTTCAATCCTGCTGTCACTTGGGATTGTAACATCGACAATCCATACTTTGTTTTTTAACACGATTGTGAGGTCAGGAGTATTGTGCTTCAAAACTCTGTCTGAATCTGGAAATCCCAGAGTAACTTGACTTGTTCATTTTCTGTAACTTTTTCCGGCTTGTGATCCCACCAGTTCTTTGTTGCAGGCAGATGGTATTTGTGGCACAAGTTCCAATGAATCATCTGAGCAACAGTGTTATGCCTCTGCTTGTGGTCTGTCTGCGCGATCCTCTTGCAGCAGCTGAGGATGGAATCTGTTATTATTATCATTGCCTAGAGCAGAGCTGCAAGTCAGAGAAAGCAATATGGGGCTGCACTGACCTTAACTATAAGTTCATATAACGCATGTTGCAACCAGAATATGTGACAGATCTCTGAAGCAATTGCTCCAACAAATCAGAGCTCATTTTCGACTATAGCTCTTCAGTTTTCCTCCTCAATGGCTAGAGGATTCTGGAAGTTGTCGTGTACAGAAAAAGGAAACTTTCCGATCTTGTGCAGAATCGAGGCACTTGCCCTTTTGAGGATGTCTCGGAACATTTATAGCTCAGCTCTTCTGACTGTAATGAACTGCATCATGTACACTTTCCACTTTGAAATTGAAATGGTTAATTTCAGAGTACACTGATTCTGAGCATAGCCACTCTTCATTTTTTCCCTCTGCTGAATACGTCTTGAATGAGATCATTTCCATCCAGCCCGCAGTTACTGTCGTCACCTTCCCTTTTCGTACCACCTTTTAACTAAGTGGAAGACAGCCTGCTTGGAGAAGTCAAGCCGTATTAAGAGGTGTGCTGAGAATTAACATGTAGGGACACACCTGCATGACAGCAGACCTGCTGGAAAATATTAACTTCTTTCCCTTCATCCATCTCTGAGTCAGGACTGTGAGTGGCCTGGGCTGAA